GGGAAATTAGTTTTTATATGTTCTTTAATTGTAAAAGTAGCATCTAGAAATGATACAGTATACGTCAGATTCATTGCCCACAATAAACATGGTTAAACATTATATAAAAGATAACGGTAAAGTCATACTGGGAGATCATACAAATGAACTCTTATAAAACAGTGGTGTCTCCTGTAAATGTCTTACACTTGTGAAACAGCAAAGCATAACACATAAGGGGGGGATGTACAGATAACTTTGGTCACAGGCAGTCAAGGAGGCATCAGATGCTACATTTTAATGGTTAAGAGGGATGCCCTGGGAAAGGGAACTAATGCGGTGGAGAAGAGGGTTGGGCATTGGAAAGAGAGAGAAGTTAGAATGGAGTGAGGGAAGGATGATCCTTAGCAGGAGAGAGGAGGGGAAGGGATGTGCTAGACAGGTTTGCTGGAGACTCCACAGTTGGATGGGAAAGGGTGGTGAGTGTGGCAGTGCAAGGCCTTGTCACTGTGTAATTAGGCAGTTTACGCCAGATTTTGTAAGAGGCAAGCACACTAATGGCACAAATGTGTGTGGGCTTACTCTGGTTTCTGCAGCTCTGGATCAGAACATTCAATCCTGTGTCTGGGTTTTGCTAGACACCTGCAATCTGGAGTACACAGCTGTGAGGAGTTGTTATATACTAGTGACTGAGAATAGCTCAGGGCTCCCAGTTTGGAGACCGCTCCCAGTGGGGGAGATGGAAGATCTCGTCGAAGGGTCAGTGGACCCACCCGGAAGCCAAGAGACAGAGGTCTCGGTTCCAGGAGTTAGGACGGCTCCTGTCAGGGTGGCAGGAGAACCCCCATCCATAGGCCAGAGGTGGCGTTTATAGCAAGAGAACGTGTCTAAAGGCTAGAGAGCCAAGTATCCAGGAGAGGTACTGTAAGTGAAGCTGAGTGAGCTTATAAACCAGGTGGCTCAGCATTTTCCAATGTTTGGATTTCTGTTCAAGTTGGAGAAGACCCCCTGCGTAGGAAATCATTCATTTGTGAACTGTTGCCTACTTTTAAATAAAAATGGGCTACCAAATCCTTAAAAATAGTTCCTGTCTGCCATGAACTCACTCAAACAACGCATCTACCACGAGAGCTAACTACCCCATGTCACAAGTGGTATAGGGGGATAGAGGGGTAGCAGAAGGCTGAGGTGAGAGTGGAAAGAGAAAAGAGTGTAGAAAGAGAATGGAAGGGGAGGTTGGAGCTGTCAGGTAGTGCTTGAGGTGGGGGGGACCCAAGAGGAGGAGGCATTTGTATTGTTCTGTGAAGAAGATCAGCTAACCAGCAGTGTCAAGTGTTTTGGAATTTTGCGTTTGAACCTTTAGTGGAGCTAGTGAGGTCTTCCATTTGTTTGATATCTCCATAAAGTGGAACCATTGTTGGATTCTGCGTGGGTAAGGGCACTTTCACAGTGTAGGAATGCAGGCACATGCTATATTGATCATGTTGATCGTGATTGATTGTTTGTATGCTTTAAGAGGCAGGGCATTGAGGTGTAGGAGAGATTATGCAGGTTTCTTTGGTATAGGGTTGAAAGTAAATTTTTGGGTGAACTGAGCCCAAAAGTGTGTAGGGATGGGCAGGTCCAGAGGATGTGAAGTATGTCACCTGGTGAAAGGCCACATATCCAATAAACCTCTGGAAAGGAAGGGTAGAATAGAATGCACTATGCTAGGGGTTCTGCACCAGCAGGTGAGGATTGTTTAACCAGATTCCTGGTATCTGTTGCTCATGGGTGATTTAAAGGAGCAGGTTAGTATTTCAGTTTGTGCAGTTGATGACTGGGGTCTCTTTCCTATGTGTCTAAGCATTTGTGCTCGAGTCATGGAGCACTCAACTTGAGAACACGGATAAGAACTTAAGTAGTGTGAAAGCTGAATAATCTGCATGGGTGCCAAAGTGGAGAGTTTGGAGTCTTAAAAAACCTTTGGTCAGATATCAGTCAGGTTAGGTTGCTGAAAGTGAAGTGAAGGTTAAAGGTTTTTCTGAGTAAACCTCTTGGAAAAGTTTCCTTGGATGGGGAAAAGGGGGAGAGGAAAAGGGGTACTTTGTAGGTGTAAATGCATGTTTGCCAAACAGCCAGGTGACAACAGCCACTTTTTCATGGTTTTTTGCATCCACCAGTCTGGATTATGTTAGGTGGGAAGCAATATGATATAACGTAATGTCAAAGAGAGACATTCTGTTAGATTTTTGGTCTGTAGAGAATGGAATGTTTAATGCAAGATGGTTTGTAGAAGCATACGTTGTTAAATTGTTACTAAACCCAGGACCCTGCATTCACTGTATCTGGTCTCCCACAGTACACAGAACATGGAAGTGCAATTATTTTAGTAAATTTAAACTGCTAAATACCTTTTCTCATCAGCCGTTAGAGCAGTCTTGTGACTACTATCAGTGTTCAGCAGAGCACTGGTTAAAGCTTGTAGGAGGGGTTTTCATTCTGCTCTAGGAGGATGCAAAACCCCTGACCTCTGTCTGGACAGTGCTGATTGGCCGTGTGCTGATCACATGCACTCTCCCAAGAAAAAAAAAACATCTCTAGCAATACACACTAAAGTGAGCATGTGCAGAATGGCTACGGGTTCAATCTGTGTTATCTGGAGATAAAGAGGTGGACATTTGAAGAAAAGGAGGAGCAGAGAAGACAGGATCAGAGAAGACGACTTTTTACACAATGGAGAGGATTAACCCCTTAGGTTCCACAGTGAGTATAACAAGCATGCTTTACTGCATATACAGACTGATTTTACTGTTGTGGGTTTAGGAACACTTGAAGGACTGAATAAGTGGTATAATCTGTTTGATTATATTTCATCTCCCTATTTTTATTAGGAGCAAAGTTAAAGTTGAAAAGTTGTTACAGTTTGTATGGCAGTTAGATGTCTAGGCATTTTAATGTAGGAGAGAGCTCATCTGAAACAGGAAACAGGAGTTTGTCATAAGTCTGCGTACCTGTCAAGGTTAAATTTATAGCTTTCAGGTTTTGATAATTAATGTGGAAATTGGACAGTTCCTAATATGCTGAGAATTGCGCTGCAGGATTGGGGGTCATAATGTCAGGGCTGCTTAAGAAGAATAGCTAGTCATCTGCTTATATGGAGACCTCCTGGTGTCCAGGTTCACTCTAGTGGTTCTCAGAAATGTTCTACTGTCAAAATGAAAATGAGAAGGAAAAAAGGGCATGTATAGAGAACTCTGCTTACCCAGATTTGTGCTGAAGGAGTAGAGTACAAGGAGACTATTTAAGCAAGCATCTGCAGGCCCAATCCTATAGTTTCCAAGGTGAAACGTGAAGGTACAATCAACTCTGTCAGAGGCCTTTTTAATGGAAGCATCGAGACGTACTGTCATGGACCTCTGTGGTGAGCATAAGCTCACCTAGTCCAAGTGGATGAAGTTCTGGATATAGGAAACCAGAGGCGGGACCAGGATTTTGACAAAGATTTACGTCTACACTGTGAAGTGAGATGACTCTGTAGTTAGAGCACTGAATAGGATCTGCACCAATGCTAGGGTGTTGGGGTTTGGGTGCAAGTCCTGATACAGTGCGTTGAAGCTGGCAGGGAAGTAGGGGGCAGTTGGATTTGATATTGCTTGTAATAGGACAGATTGAAATGATCAGGGCTTGGGACCTTGCTGGATTTAGTGTGTTTGGTAGCTAGTGCAAACTCTAGCGGTGTGATTGATTGCTTGAGGAGATCAGTTCTCTGGGTGTCTAATGTCACCATGCTTTATTTGGTTAGATTGTATTTAATTCATTCTTTGTGTAGTCATGTCTGAGGAGTGCTTCGGTTAGTAGATAGGTTGTAAAGTTTGGCATAGTAATCTGAAGATGTTCCAAATCTTAATTGAAAAGGAAGTAACAGTATTGTCATTGGTGACTATAGAACAAACAAATGTTTTTTGCTTTTTGATGCCAGAGGACCCTGGAAAATTACTTACTGCACTGGTAACTGTACTTGGAAAACTTTTGCCTGCACTCAGAGTGGCTTTAGCTTCAAGGAAATGTGATATGAGCTGGGTTCTGAGAAGAGTCAGTTCCACGGATATATCTGAGGTCTGTATCTTTTTAAGCAGGGTTTCAAGTTTGAAAATTTAGGTCAAAGGTCTGTGATATGTTGATTCCACTGTCTTCTAAGGCAGGAGCCATGTTTATTATGTGTGCTTCCCCTTTGGTGTGGAGCCATGTATCAGGCATGTTGATAGTGGAAAAATCTAGAACAAGTTTCTTTTTTGTGGACCTCTGAGATATTGGGGTGTTGTAGGTGAATGTCATTAGGGCTAGGAAGTTGGTGATGGGTAATTAATGAATACAGCCACACAACTTGGGTAAAGGTGTAATGAGCTGCCCACCCAGCTATAAAACCTCCTGCCACTAGTGTCTGTGTGGCAGATGAAGTGGCAGGAGGAAGCACAGTTTTCCAGTGTGCCGCCATAAGCAGTGCATGCCCCAGATTCAGCTTTCTGTTTAAAATCTCTCTTGTGGAAGCATGCTGGAATTCTAGTGTCTTAAACACTTTTTATGATTTACCCTGAATATATTTATCTTTTGTATTAAAAAAGGAGGATGTTGGAATAAAAATGAAAAACTCTAATTAACATATAACTTTTTCCATATTTCTCCCTATTCTATATGTTTCAGTGCTTGCAAGGGGGTTTTCTAAATTTTAATATATTCAGTGGAGAAGAAGGTAATTATTATCAAATAGAGACCCCCTAGGACAGTGATGGCGAACCTTTTTGAGCCCGAGTGCCCAAACTGCAACCCAAAACCAACTTATTTCTTTCAAAGTGCCAACACTGCAATGAAACCTGAATATCGAGCTTTTGGTTTAGAAAAAACAACTCGTACAGTAGTGCAAACTAATTAACAGTACAGGGATGACCAGAGACTGCAGACAGTACAGGGATGACCAGAGACTGCGGACACAGTACAGGAGATGACCAGAGACTGCAGACACAGTACAGGAGATGACCAGAGACTGCGGACACAGTACAGGGATGACCAGAGACTGCGGACACAGTACAGGGATGACCAGAGACTGCAGACACAGTACAGGGATGACCAGAGACTGCGGACACAGTACAGGGATGACCAGAGACTGCGGACACAGTACAGGGATGACCAGAGACTGCAGACACAGTACAGGGATGACCAGAGACTGCACACAGTACAGGGATGACCAGAGACTGCGGACACAGTACAGGGATGACCAGAGACTGCAGACACAGTACAGGGATGACCAGAGACTGCAGACACAGTACAGGGATGACCAGAGACTGCGGACACAGTACAGGAGATGACCAGAGACTGCGGACATAGTACAGGGATGACCAGAGACTGCGGACACAGTACAGGGATGACCAGAGACTGCGGACAGTACAGGGATGACCAGAGACTGCGGACAGTACAGGGATGACCAGAGACTGCAGACACAGCAGTACAGGGATGACCAGAGACTGCGGACAGCACAGGGATGACCAGAGACTGCAGACACAGTACAGGGATGACCAGAGACTGCGGACAGTACAGCACAGGATGACCAGGAGGAGATGACCAGACAGCACACAGGGATGACCGGAGACTGCGGACTGCAGAGACTGCAGACAGTACAGGGATGACCAGAGACTGCGGACAGTACAGATGACTGCTGACCTTTGGGGAGGGAGGGGGGGAGCGGGTACATGAATTTGACAGGTACCCGCTCTTACTTCCGCAGTTTTTTTTTTTCTTACCTGTTCCTCTATCCAGCCGCGCGCTGTCTTCCCGGCTTCTGTAGTGTGGGTGCTCGTCGGACAGCCGGATGCCCAGTGCGCATGCGCGAGATGCGCTGCGCTTTGTGATTGGTCCGGCGGCTTCTGGGATCTGTCATGTGTCCCAGGTACCGCCTTACCATTCACAAAGAGCACTGCTTCTTGCGCATGCGCACTTGGGACCCGGCTGTCACGCACACTACAGAAGCCGGGAAGACAGCGCGCCGCTGGATAGAGGGACAGGTACGGTCCCACTGCAGAGCTGAGCGGCCGGCCCGGTATTCTGACATGGCGGCGGTGGAAATACCGGACCGGCCGCTCTATATTCGCTCCATAAGACACACTGACATTTTCCCCCCTTTTTTGGGGGAAAAAAAGTGCGTCTTATGGAGCGAAAAATACGGTATTCTCCTGGCGTGCCCACAGATAAGGCTCGGCGTGCCGGCTGTGGCACGCGTGCCACGGGTTCGCCATCACTGCCCTAGGTGAATGCTTTCATAGTTTTTTACAGTGTCTAGAAAAAGTATTCATACCCCTTGAAAGTTTCCACATTTTGTCATGTTACAACCAAAAACGGAAATTTATTTTATTGGGATTTTATGGGATAGACCAACACAAAGTGGCACATAATTGTGAAGTTGAAGGAAAATTAAAAATGTTTTTCAAATTTTTTTACAAATAATTATCTGAAAAGTGTGGCGTCCATTTGTATTCAGTCCTCCCGAGTCAATACTTCATAGAACCACCTTTTGCTGCAATTACAGCTGCAAGTCTTTTTGTCTTTACCAGCTTTGCACGTCTAGAGAATTAAATTTTTGCCCATTCTTCTTTGCAAAATAGCTCAAGCTCTGTCAGATTGGATGGAGAGCGTCTGTGAACAGAAATTTTCAGGTCTTGCCACAGATTCTCAATTGGATTTAGGTCTGGACATTGACTGGGCCATTCTAACACATGAATATGCTTTGATCTAAACCAGTGGTCTTCAAACTGTGGCCCTTTGCTTGTCTTTATCTGGCTCTTGGGAACTATTCCTCTCTAAAATGAGATGCTATTCTGCCAACTGACACTAACAATGGGGCACTATTCCTCCCAATGATAACAATTATAACAAAGGTTATGAAGGCATATACAGTTTCTGGGAAAACGTCGTCTGATAAGCATAAGTGCAGTCAACTGAGCAAAAGAGACAAAATTATATTGCGCAGGATTGTGACTCGAAATAAGAAAAATACTGCTGCAAAAGTGGCTGCAAAAGTCCCGTGAGGACTGAGACTGAGCTCTGCAGTCACATTTGTAGCAGTTGTTTAAGGACCCGTCATTACTGAAATGGATATAGTGACACGGTGGTCTAATGTCTGGCAGTGGTTCTCTGTTAATAAACACTCCACTAATGATGTCACAGAATGTGTGACATACAAAAGTAATCCACGCAGTTTGGGAAGCTTCCACCTGAGTGTCAAGTTTAGATATAATAGAAGTGTTATAACGGGCTGATATGCAATCAATAATGCAATAATGCAGAGAGCATTGATTACTATATATTTCTGCACTGTCAAATTCTGAATGATTGGCAACTAAAGTGATTCTGGAATGGGGGGTAGTAAATAATATGATCTAAAATAATATTCATTATACAGGATATGACTATGACTACAAACGGTCTATACACAATGAAGAAGACTACCATTGCAGTATCTACATCCAGTAATGCTATATTAGCCTGTCTCACATGTTTGGAAAACCTAAACTGGCCCTTGGCAAAGTGAAAATATTCAGAAGGTATTGTGGCAGTGCGAGGTACTGCCACTGTGAAAATGCAGGAGAAAAACAACACAGGGTTCTCAAAAATACAGGTGAAGGGGCTCCAGAATGTCAGTTCTGGGAGAACAAAGGTGGTTTTTCATCTTTCTCTGGGTTCTGTAATTTCTGAATTAGGGTTTGGAGCTCGGAGACTGCTTTGGTAGGAAAGGAGTCTCCAATCTTGTGTTCAGGTCTTGACAGAAACCAGCAGGCTGAGTGTACAGATGTTTGCAGCCTTTATGACAGCAGCTCAGGGCTCCACCTGAGAGTCAGGAGGTCTCTGCATAGGGGTCAGGAGGACCCCAATCCTTCCCCAGAAGTCAGAGCTGAGCGTGTATGTCTGCACAGTGTAGGAGCAGACGGTGACAAAGCAGCAAGGAAAAGCTGGAAAAGAACCAAGGTACAGAGTCTGTACAGAAGCACTAGGGGGCTGTGTTAGATGATCTGGAGGACCAAGGAAACAGGCCTGAGCAGCCGCACTGCTAGAAAGCCATGACCTAATTTATGTTTATGTTGATGGTGGAAACCCCTGCGTGGGAAACTGACTTTCTGTGTGAACTTTTTCTATTTTACTAATAAAAGCAAGCTTTTACACAGCACTTCTGGGCTGTACTGAGCTCACTGGGAAAACCCCCACAACAAGCATATACAGTGGGGATCGAAAGTTTGGGCACCCCAGCTAAAAATTTGTATTAATGTGCATAAAGAAGCCAAGGAAAGATGGAAAAATCTCCAAAAGGCATCAAATTACAGATTAGACATTCTTATAATATGTCAACAAAAGTTAGGTTTTATTTCCATCATTTACACTTTCAAAATAACAGAAAACAAAAAAATGGCGTCTGCAAAAGTTTGGGCACCCTGCAGAATATATAGCATGCACTGCCCCCTTTGCAAAGCTGAGACCTGCCAGTGTCATGGATTGTTCTCAATCATCGTCTGGGAAGACCAGGTGATGTCAATCTCAAAGGTTTTAAATGTCCAGACTCATCTGACCTTGCCCCAACAATCAGCACCATGGGTTCTTCTAAGCAGTTGTCTAGAAAACTGAAACTGAAAATAGTTGACGCTCACAAAGCTGGAGAAGGCTATAAGAAGATAGCAAAGCGTTTTCAGATGTCAATATCATCTGTTCGGAATGTAATTAAGAAATGGCAGTCATCAGGAACAGTGGAAGTTAAAGCAAGATCTGGAAGACCAAGAAAAATATCAGACAGAACAGCTCGCAGGATTGTGAGAAAAACAATTCAAAACCCACGTTTGACTGCACGATCCCTCCAGAAAGATCTGGCAGACACTGGAGTTGTGGTACACTATTCCACTATAAAAAGATACTTGTACAAATATGGTCTTCATGGAAGAGTCATCAGAAGAAAACCTCTTCTACGTCCTCACCACAAAAATCATCGTTTGAACTTTGCAAATGAACATATAGACAAATCCTGATGCATTTTGGAAACAAATTCTGTGGACCGATGAGGTTAAAATTGAACTTTTTGGCCGGAATGAGCAAAGGTACGTTTGGAGAAGAAGGGGCACAGAATTTAATGAAAAGAACCTCTATCCAACTGTTAAGCATGGGGTTGGATCAATCATGCTTTGGGGTTGTGTTGCAGACAGTGGCACAGGGAACATCTCACGAGTAGAAGGAAAAATGGATTCAATAAAATTTCAGCAAATTTTGGATGGTAACTTGATGCCATCTGTGAAAAAGTTGAAGTTAAAGAGAAGATGGCTTCTACAAATGGATAATGATCCTAAACACACCTTGAAATCCACGGGGGATTACATCAAGAGGCATAAAAAAACTGAAGGTTTTGCCATGGCCTTCACAATCTCCTGACCTCAACATAATTGAAAATCTATGGATAGACCTTAAAAGAGCAGTGCGTGACAGACAGCCCAGAAATCTCAAAGAACTGGAAGACTTTTGTAAGGAAGAATGGGCAAAGATACCTCAAACAAGAATTGAAAGACTCTTGGCTGGCTACAAAAAGCGTTTACAAGCTGTGATACTTGCCAAAGGGGGCAGTACAAGATATTAACTCTGCAGGGTGCCCAAACTTTTGCAGACGCCATTTTTTTGTTTTCTGTTATTTTGAAAGTGTAAATGATGGAAAAAAAATCTAATTTTTGTTGACATATTATACAAATGTCTAATCTGTAATTTGATGCCTTTTGGAGATTTTTCCATCTTTCCTTGGCTTCTTTATGCACATTAATACAAATTTTTAGCTGGGGTGCCCAAACTTTCGATCCCCACTGTATGCTTCTACCCATTTCATAATGTTATCGATAGGGAAATAGTTTTCACATGGAGATTACAAATATAAATATTCTTTTTTACAGTTTACATGGATCTGTACAGCCACAGCCTGTGGTCTATTTGGGAAGACATTGGCATACCAAACAAGAGTCAATTTTTGGATTAGCCATTGGGCTGATGAAGTGAAACAGACTAAACCAGCGCTATCATGTAGACTAAAAGCAGTAATATATATCTGCCACTGAGTGGCACTACAGGCCATGTAAGCTTTTATTTCCACAAACATCTGCACAGAACTCATAGAGAACAAACCAAACATCCCAAAATATCCAGAATTATCAGTCTGGGCCGCTTCTTGTCCAGAGGTGAAGGACGCAGGGAATTCTGCTTTGGCTCTGCATTATCTGCCAGACTGGAAGACACAGCAACAGCACAACCAAAATAGCCGCTCTATCCCATGTATATGAAAACAACAATATTGCTGTTGCTGAAAGATCCCTAACAAGATGTGATTTATTTTTCACTCTGTATGAAAATGACACACTACAAATCTGACAAAATGTCCATGCAAAATTGCTCAGTCAGCTTATGTCTAACTGGGAAATTTAGTCCCAGTCGTTTTCATGTTTCCATTGTTACTAGTGTCTTGCACATTGTAAGATACACTGGGTTATCTTGCACACTTGGAAATAAAGAATATGTAAACCCAATATTTCATATTCCTGA